ATTATTTTTGAACCCGGACCAATTTTATATATTACGTGATAACATTTTAGTCTGGATCCAAAAATAATTACCCATATATATTTATAATCCATTTGTCAGAGCTTATAAATAAATCTTAATTCTTTTAAATGGTAATTACTTAATTCATAGCTTATTATTTATTTAAATTCATTATAAAATTATCAAATCAGAGTTATGAATGTATAGAGTAAATTAAGAAACAAATAAGCAAATAACACAAATATCTATAAGCAGAAGAGTTGCTATTATTAAACCATGATTCAACTCCCAATAATAGTTTTTACTTATGCATTTTTCTTATTTATTAAAGATCCGGCATTGTTAATATTTGACAATTATGTATAAGGCATGAATAATTCCTAACATTAAATTAAAATAAATTAAAAATAAATTAAAAATAAATTAAAAATAAAATAAAAATAAAATAAAATAAATTAAAATACGTATATAAAAATTATAATTTAATTTTTAACGTCAAATAAAGCAAAATATAAAGATTTATTACCAGGAATGTATCCAAGTACTGTTAACAGCACATTAATCAATAAATCTTCACCACATCCACGTTCAAGAACAACACCAAGCGGTGGAAAGATAATGGCAAAAATTACTTTAAAAATATCGGAAAATGTGAGAGCCATTCTTGACTAGAATCGTAGCCTTGATCTTGACGTTCTTGGCCACTTTCTTCTTCTAGTCAGTCGCTTAAGTTTAAACGACAATTTCCTAAAGGCTCGTTTTATAGAGGTTAGAAACCTTTTCCTTTTAAAAGCCAGGATGTAAGAGTTAAAATTTAAAATTTAAAAATACTTTTTATAAAGATATGAAGTTAAGAATTTTTTTTACACTTTATTCGAAAAGTAACTATATAGTCAGTATTGCTTTTCGTGACTTTATATTTATATAAAAAGTGACGATTGCGTAAAATTGTTGTAATCCATTAAGGTATGGAGTATTGGCTGGTTGATATAGTTGCATCATTATTATCATAATATAAAATTAATTTTCTTTATCAATGAGATCAGGCGACTGACCATAAATTTCTTAATTTAGTTACATACCAAATTATTATATCATGATTACGTATGTCGTACCAGGATCGAAATCTCGATTCAGGATCGGAGAAATTTCAATTAGGTAGTCAAGAATTAACGTTAACAAAAACTATATAACGATAATAGTTTAATTAATGATACCCTATGTTACGTAAACAATTAGACATGACCTAATTTTTTTATCATGTGTAACAATTTGCCGGATCTCACTAGGGCACGTTTTGACTCTTTTGTAAATTATTTTGGGGCAGGAGCATTATAGCATTAGGATTAGCGTTAGTATAATCCGGAACCGCTCTAAATCTAAATAAAGCCGATTCAAATTTGGAACACAATAGACGTGCGTACGTCTTTAGATATGTAAAGTTAATTTAATAAGGGGAATCAAATGATGAAAATTGATTCTTTAAAATCGAGATACAAAAATTGTTACATGATCAAAAGATATTAATCCCAAAAATATTATAAATTGTAAACGGAAACCATTTTAATGGATTTTATTTGAAATATATACAGTGTCTTTTTTCGCATTACAACACTAAAAAAACGAAATAATTTTTTTTTAGAATAATATAACGAGACTGTTTTTATTTAATGAATGACGTTTTTCATTTTTAATATTACGTTTAGTAAATATACCGTATACTGTATATTCCTCCGAAAATAAGCGCCCCTTTTTTGCATGTAATGCTGGCCGTGGTTGTTGTAAAGTGAGCCAAAGTTGGCATAGTGTGGCCAGGGGGTGTTTGTTTTCGGGGGAGTGCTTATTTTCGGAGAAATACAGTATATATATATACTGCAGTACTGTGTATAACGATAATTATAAAATGTGTGCAAAAGGGAAAAAATCAACGCCACTCTTAAACAAAAAACAGAGTTTGGGAACTTATATAAACCCGATTAAAACCGGTGTTGACATATGAAAAAAAATCATTTTTTTTACGTGCATCAAGCAGAGGTCTCGAGGATTCTGGTAACCAATAGAATGATTCATTTCTCGTTTGATATAAGAATGTTTTTAGTTGTTCATTAAAAAAACTTAATATTGTATTTTCAAAATGTTATTTTTTTGTAAATAAATATTTGTAAAGATAGAATATATATCTTTGTGAATTAAACTATATACAGTATAATCATTGCTCGTATATAGTAGAATATATTTTTATTATATAGTCTATTTCACGTTCTTTAATGATTTGTCTGCTGACCATTTTTCAGATTGGTACAAAACCTGATTTAACTTTCCATAATACAAGATTTACAATAATATTTATCAAAACAGTATGCATTTTCATCAGATTTCTATATGTACTCTTTTTATTTTCATTTTTCATTTAATAACAGTGGTCATACCTGCTAACTTTTGATAAATAAACGCATGCGTTTTTCTGACATCAATTCAATGAAGATAATATAAAAACAAGACGATGTACAGTAAACTCTTAATATCCCTTAAACCGTTAATTTAACTTCAAATATACTATGACATAGAATATACTGTACGTAATTTGGTAGCTTAATCACAGATCGATCATGAAATTTACTACAACGCACCTTAGATTTATTATTATAGCAAGAATTTATTACTTTTATTGTAAATTTATTTGATTTGGTCCTATCGTTAGCATCGTTATTAAATATTGTTTTTGTTAGATGATTGAGGTTTGGGTATTAAAGATTTCAAATGTTTGTAGTAATGTCTTAACAGTAGAAATGGAGACTACCTTAAAATTAAAATATCGCAATTTATCGATAAACTCAATTTTCTTAAGTCTTGTTATCAGTTTCCGCCCTTTCTAATACGTATAACAATCCACATTTAATTGATTAATGAACTGACACCAATACACTTGCGCCAATTTAAATTACTGCAGTTAGTATATATTTAATTAGCCATTCAGTGAAACTAGGATGTGAATTACTGCGATCTATTGTATGTAATGAAAATTTATTTGGTTCATTAGAATTAGAACATATAACCAAGAATCATCAAGATTACCTTCAGTGACACAATTATTTTTTTTATGTGACAAGTGTTCCTGTATAAAGCATAGCAAAAAAAACACTATTTCTACCAAAACTATGGATTATTCAATATTTGTTAACAATGTCAGAAATTATTTGATTAAGCAACGCATTTCTATACATCCAATTAAACATTGTTAGATTCTGATAATCTGGTAAATCTACCAAGTCAATTAACATGTCTATGCTTTTATACGTGTTAGACACACCAGTATTGGGTACATACATAGATATATTTGTAAATGTATAAAATAATAATAAGGCACTCAGAAATTGTACTTCATTTAGATTTAATGTTAATAAATATAAATATATAGAAAAGACCTATGTAATACGTTTTAATTGTAATAATCTGTTATGTGTCAACAAAATAGCCTGACTTGACTTTCCATCCCTAATAATATATTTATTGACACTAATAATATTAGTATGCTTTGTATTCTTGGTAACCTGTATTGGTTCAAACTAGGGATTGAACTTTTTTTCTAATCGTTTAGACGTTGAACCTTTAACCGTGTTAACTGTTTAATTCAGACACCATTAACATAATTCTGGCTCATGACCAATATAATTTGAACTGAAACTACGTACAGGACAATTTTCAAGCGGTTAAACGGTTTCAATCCTTCTATGTTACGTATTTATGCCATTACTTTTGATCTCTATTTCTTATCAGTTCCAGCGAAAATTTCAATACAATTTTTCCGGTTTAAAATAGTTTTATAAATTTCCATAGTCAACGGTGTTGTTTTTTGATCTTTTGTTTCAGCATTATTTCTCTTGAAGATTTACATAACATGGTGTTATGCCTTTAATATTATTTGGTTTAATATTATTTGGTCTCAAACCTTCTCGAATCTCTATTGTTAAGTTTAAATTATCATCTTTATAGTCGAATAATAAAACTTTTCTGAAGAAATCTCTCATATAATCGTTCCAAAGGATAAATATCTGATATTTCGGTGAATGATATTCCTTGCAAAACTTCCGATGCTATGTACGATAAAGTTCCATATTATTTAAATGCCTTGTTTCATGCCTATGCCATTTTATAACATAGTTCAAGGCTATTTTGTCCATTCGAATCGCTACCTTTAGCAGATTTCAAAATACCATTCAAATGTCTTTATTTTCATCCTTAATTATGCTTCTTCTATTTTCATAGTAGAATCCAAGATTGCTTTGTTCATTCAAATTGCCACCTTCTGCAAATTTCAAATACCACTCAAGTGCCTTTTTCTCATTCTTAGCTATGCCTATCCCATTTCATAACATAATTCAAGATTTTTTTGCCTATTCGAATTCCACCTTCTGCAGATTTTAAATACCACTCAAATGCTTTTTTTTCGTCTTTAGTCGTACCTATACCGTTTTGGTAGCATGTTCCGAGATTATTTTGTCCATACAAATTACCATCTTCGGCAGATTTCAAATGCTCTTTTTTTGTCTTTAGTTGTGCCTATGCCATTTTGTTAGCAAACTCCAAGATTTGATTGTCCACTCGAATTGCCACCTTCTGCCGCTTTCAAATACTGTTCAATGCTTTTTTTTCATCCTTAACTGTACCTATGCCATTTTCATAGCAAATTTCAAGATTGTTTTGCGCATTTAAATTGCCACCTTCTGTGGATTTCAAATACCACTTAAATGCTTTTTCATTCTATCCCATTTCTGTAGCAGGGTCCAAAATTATTTTTTTTTCCTTCAAATTGCCACTTTCAACAGATTTTAAATACACTCAAATGCCTTTTTTCATCCTTATTTATTTATACCAATTCCATTTTCATAACAGAATTCAGATTATTTTGTCCATTCAAATTTCCACCCTCTTAAGCTTTCAAATACCACTCGAACGTTTTTTTCATTCTTGGCTATGCCTATACCATTTCTATAACAAAATCCAGGATTGCATTTCTACTGGAATTGCAACCTTCAGCAAATTTTAAATACCACTCAAATGCCTTTTTTTCGTCTTAACTATGCCTATACCATTTTGATAGCAGACTTCAAGATTTGATTGCCTACTTAAATTACCAGCTTCAGTGGCTTTTATATACCATTCAATATCTTTTTTTCATCTTTATCTGTATCTATGCCATTTTGGTAGCATAATTCAAGGTTATTTTGTCCATTTGAATTGTCACTTTTAGCAAATTTCGAATACAAATCGAATGCCTTCTTGATTGTCCCTATTCTATTTTTATAGCATAATTCAAAATTACTTTGTCTGTGAGAATTGTCACCTTTAGCAGAGTTTTAAATACCATGCAAATGTTGTTTTTTTCATCTTTAGCTATTCTTATATTGTATTTATAGCAGAATTCAAGATTGTTTTGTCATTCGAATTTCCACCTTCAGAAGATTTTAAATACCATTTGAGTGCTTTTTTTTCATTTTTAGGTGTACTTATTCCATTTAGTAGCATAATCCAAGATTATTTTGTCCACTTGAGTTGCCACCTTTGGCAGATTTCAAATACTATTCAAATGCCTTTCTTTTATTCTTGGTTGTATCTATGTCATATTTATAGCAAAAATCCAAGATTGTTTTGTTTATTCGAATTACCATTTT